TGTATATTATAAATGATCCTGAGAGAATATTCAGTGTGTTAAGGATTTCCCTGCTCTACTGTTAGCTCTATACAAGAGAGAAAGGGCGATTCTTTTTTAATTTCGGTTTCGCTGACACAGCTTTCGCAGAAATCTCGCTGTAGTCGTTTTCGTCGACAAAAGGAATAGCAAAATCGCTCTCCGCGTCTTCCCCCACTTTGTTCTGCGTCATTTCATGAAGGACGCGTGGCTCTCAGCGTGGGTCATCCACGCGGAACACATTCGCGCTATGTGATTGGCTGTTGTCTAATCCCCCTTGAGATCTGTGGTGTTAAAAATAACTCGAGACGAATTACCTATGGAATAGGGTGTATATGGGGGATGGCCTCTCTGTCCCCTTTATAGTCTCTTGGAACGGATGCATTTCTTTACTGTGTAGTAAAAAGAGAACAAATTATGTCACTCTAATGTACAACAACGCTTACAAATTTCTCTTATTAGATAGTAAAACTACAATGAAGCGGGCGGAATGACAGTGGTTTAAACAACCTAAAATTACAAATAAATCACTTACAATTGACAGCAGAAAAGCTAACACTAGCAGAATAAAGTCAATAAATCTATAACAGACTTAGTATGATAATTTTATAACCGCAGAACTGCACACCACTGAAAGGTATACAAAAAAAATTATGATAAACGTAAATTAAGAAAAAGAAGAAGGGTATCGAGAAAAATCTGAAGTAAGCTAAACAATGGACTTGATATTATCGCACAAAGGGAAAAAAAAAATTCATGAAGAAAAATTTAAACTAGAGAATATAAAGAAAGGCATAAAGCACAAGGGGGAAGCAAACAAAAGTCGCAAAAGTAAAACAAAGCGAAATGTATGAATAGCTAGAGAGAGATGCCAGTCGAGCAACCTTGTCCTGCAACTTTGGCCTTATATATCTAGCCGAATTTTTGAAAACCAACGTAAAAAAATTGGTGGGCATTTGAGTGAAAAGGCTACTTTGGAGACAGCTTTCGGCCGCAAAAAAAAGCTGTTGGACGCACTGACGGTCTATTCGGCGGTAACGTGATAAAAAATCCGGCTAGATATATAATAACACAAATAACAGCATGCAGAAACATGCCATGATCTAACACCCAAATACCAAACTGCAAAAACACCTCGTGATCGAATTCCCAAACGCGAGAAAATACATTTTATGTAGGGGGTTGAGCACTGGGAATCTTGCCGCGTTTCTTCTTCATGGAATAGAAGAAATGTCTCACGACCTTCAGGGCTCTCCTAGCTTTCCTGACAGATTGAAAAACCGGCAAAAAAGTTTTACGCTTTATTAGCGAGTTAGCATTTGTACGTTATCAAATAAATTTTTCAGTACAAATGTAAAATCTGACGAACAATCATTGGCCTTACGGCATTGACACTGAATAGGTTTACTGGACTGGAACTTTCACAAAGGCTCTTTGTTTTCTGTACGGTCGGCTTTGAATACACTGTGTTGACTGTCCTCTCAATAGTGTGTATTGTTATAACGAACTACATAGCAAAAGACAAAGATCTTTATTCTTAGATGAGCAAACTCACGTGATACGAATTTTGAAATAAATCAAATTTGACCGTTTTTATTTAGTTTAAATTGGCGCCCGAGTAACGGAACGCTGTTTGCAAGGAACAACGTCGTCAAGAAGGAAGAAGCTTACTTCTAAACATGAAGACATCAGCCCTTGTTTTTCTCTGTGCATTTTCTCTGTCTCTGGCTTATTTCGACGACTACATCGAAGGTACTGATTTTTCAGTGTCGTTTTCTGAAACTTTCTCAGTTATGGGCGGGTTCATTCGTTCATAAATTAGATACGCACAGACTAGTTTTCTACGTTTCTTTCAATTTTTCAGTCTTTTAACGTACATCAGATATATCTTTTGTACAAAATACATTTTCTAGAAGAAAAAGTTATTTTAGAGCCGTAACTATATATTACAAAGGTATACTCGTCATGGACACTTCAGTATTCCAAGTCAGGAATATATCATTTCACTTGTTGTTTAGGACCTAAAGAAACCCAGTTCACTTCAGTTCTACAAGCGTGTATGAACTTTGTCACTGATATTGAAGCTGAAAGGAGATTATATGTGATGCGTTCAGAAAACTGACTTTTTTTTTGCGTTATGGAGGGCAGTAAAGTTCGAGCGTCAAATTAACCGGGCAGCGCGAGGCGGGGCCAGTCGCCTAAAAAAGCCACAGGTCAAAACTCTCAAAAAATTATTAGAAAAGAAGGCGAAAGGTCACTTATTACGCCCAATTTGATAAAGACTTTGTTTGCAAAATTCGCCATTAGCGGTGTGATTGTATGGACGATTCCGGCCGGTAAATGTGTTAGAACCAAAGAGTATATTAACGGGCGCGCTTCGACATTGGCATTGAGAATAATTTGCATACATTTCCATATCTTATGGTAGTTTCTAGATCAGCTTTACATCGCTACAAAAACTTCTTCGTCTCAATAATAAGTCGTGATGTTTTGCGGGACAATGAATAAGCCTTGTTGTGGGAAAAGCTGGAAGACATTCGCTGAACGAAGTTACAGCGAAAATCGGCATGCTATCATGTCGAGCTACAGTGCGAATTCAAAGATGCTTTTGCTCCGAATTTGTGGGCGTTTCGGTTAATACACTGAGTATCTCACTCAAGGTCTCACTTAGTTATCTTAATTAGGGCCAAACTAGTCAATACCTCAGAGTGAGCTGAAATAGTTCTTTGGTAACTCGTGGGGGTGTACGTCTGGAGTTATAAGGTCGACCACGCAGACGTTCTCCTCACCTCATCCTCGCTTGTAGAGTTTAGTCGAGGCCAAGTTGGCCACAGATTTGTATACGTAATAGCACGATTTGTAGTGATATTAGGCATAAATACCACGAGTGATATTTCGAAATTGTTATACGTAAAATTTGAGACAATTTTGAAATATCACGAGTGGTATTTATGCCAACTATCATGTACGAATTATGCTATTATTTGTTTGTACTACTACCCGCAAAAGGTTTGTAATTTCAACATGTAGGTATTTCAAATTNACGTTCTCCTCACCTCATCCTCGCTTGTAGAGTTTAGTCGAGGCCAAGTTGGCCACAGATTTGTATACGTAATAGCACGATTTGTAGTGATATTAGGCATAAATACCACGAGTGATATTTCGAAATTGTTATACGTAAAATTTGAGACAATTTTGAAATATCACGAGTGGTATTTATGCCAACTATCATGTACGAATTATGCTATTATTTGTTTGTACTACTACCCGCAAAAGGTTTGTAATTTCAACATGTAGGTATTTCAAATTTAGCTGAAATACCACTGCTCTAGGCCAATCCAATTGTCGAAATTTCTTAAGTAGTAGTATAAAGTGATCAAATTACATTGTAGTCACAAAAATTTTTTGAGATGATAACAATACAGCATTTATCCGTTAATTTCAGACCCTTGGGAGAATGAGGACGAAGCGGTTAATCCGGAGTCTATAAAGTTACAGGGTAAAGTTTACAACTGCACAGAGGATATGGATTGTGACTGCCCCAAGCTCCTTTGTACTGGAGTAAAGAGTTGCAGAAAAGGAGGCCCGTTGCTAGCGAAATGCAGGCTCGCTAAAGACTACAGTGAAATAAACCTGCAAGACGCAAAAAGGAAGTTCTGGGGAAAGGACGGAGATTGCTATTGCCAATAAGGCAAATAAAGAACATTCCGCTTCTTGAATCTGATGGAAAAGTACAACGGAATAGGAACGAAATAAAAGAAAACGCTGAAGAAAGTGTCGAATGAAACTTACTAATTCAAAACGGAGCGAAAAGCTGATAACCAAGAAAAAATGAATTTTAAAAGAAAATTGAAACTAAAAAACTAGAAAAACGACCTGAGAGAATAGCATATTTGGTTCGACTCAGGGTAAACTGAATTCCTACTAAAACGGGGACCTTAATTCTAACAACTGGAAGGGCAGAAAATTTGCCAAAGAAACCTAATGAAGACTTGGTTCCTTTTGTTTGAGTGAAAAAGTATCACATCTAATACTTGCACGTCATCTTCCTTGCATCCATCTCCTCGCATAGCTGATCATATCTACTGGCCTGTTTCACTCTAGTTTGTTACAGATTCGTGCCCATCAGTCGCTATTTTCGTGTTTTGGGGGTACGAGAGGCCACTATTTTGTCTTCGTCCATTCCTATGAGTCCTTGTGCGTCTTAACTTAACCTTAATTTTCTCACACCCCCAAAACACGCAAATTGCGACTGGATACGAATATAAATTTGTTACGCATATTACCTTCAAGCGAACGTGGCAAAGCAAACGCGCGAGGGTTTAGACGAAAAGAGTAGGAAGGACTGCAATCTCTTTCCTAACCGACGCGCTTAATCCTCCTTCTCTTTCGTCTTCTCCCTCGCTTATTTGCAGCGCTTACTTGCACGTAAAATGCTCGCCAGCGCGACAATCCTGAGGGATTGCTAGCACTGATGTATCCAGGTTTTTCTTTTCATGATACGCCCTTGAGCTCCATATTATGTATTGAGCTCTATGATAATTCAGTTGAACCCAGTCAATACGAATTAACAACAAGAGGATATGCCATGGTGTCCTTATCAGCGGTGCATCTATGGGAGGGTACAGGGGGGTGCGCAGGGTGGGTCGGTGTGGTAGTGTAGCGGTAAGGGAGAGAGATTAGGATACGAAAGGGCCGGGTGCGAGGTCCAGGTTCGACCCTGGGTTGTGATTTTCTTTCTTTTTCATAGAAAAACTTTCAATAACAGGTCAAAAATTTTCTAAATGTCTCAAAAATGACCGCGATCGTTTACGAGAGGGACAACTGCGTCGTCTTTTCTGATGGGTTTTCACTGGTAAGATAATCAGTCATAGACGATGTGTAGATAAACAGTTTCCTTAAAGCGGGGTTGACAAGTTAATTGGGAGTTTGTTACTCGGGACACATAAAAATGTCCGTTGTGCGTATTAACCGATGTCCAGTGTGCCACGCTTAGTGACCGGCAGATGAACCTTTCTGTAAGAGCAAGAGATCATGATATTATGAGACTAGGAACATAAATTATTATTGTTGCCGTTGTTGAAGCAAGAGTTACAAAATTGGAAAATCGTACACCATTATAACGTTGAGCAACCTCGTCTTAGGTATCTTTGCTTTGTAAGGGAATCCGGTTGCCAAGTCCAGGAAAGTTTTTGTTATGGAATCCGGAATCCGAGACATTTTTGCTTGTAGAATCAGGAATCTTGCGCTTTGGAATCCGGAATCCAAGTTCCACTGACAAAGTCCGGAATCCAGTTTCCAGAAACCCGGAATCAACGGTGTTGAATGCAGAATCCAAGACTACCTTAGATTTCCTTACATGGGACGAGATAACAATATCTGTCTCAGGCCGTCTTCATGCAATCACAACCCCTGAGGTTGTCATTTGAAGTTTAGAGGATAAATGAAAACGCTTACATGTACATTGTCTTTATTTCTCAGCCTCTGTCCCAGTGTTTCCTTGCTTGGCAACTTGATCGTAATGCTCTAATATAACTAAGTTAAGACCCGGATGGTCACAAATAGGGTGAAGGTGGGGTCTGCACGGCCTCCAGCAAATCATCGTAACAAGGAGGAGGTTCGCCTTCTTTGAGTCTCACTCCAGCGTTGTACTGCATGTATTCAACGTAATGCGGAGGGTATTCTGGTAACTTTTCAGCCTGAAATGGTGTGTCGTTTTGTGTCGTGCAGTTCATTTTTGTGGTGGTCGCTTTTATTGCAAAAAGGTTGCCGAGGACCACTGGTCTATGATAAGGACGTCTACGGCGATAGCGCGTGAAGTAAAAACACATTGAAGCTATACATAGAAGAACACAAGTTCCGAGGATTCCAGCGGCAATAAAGGTGTCAGCATCATCGTTATGATANGTTTCCAGGAATCCGGGATCAACGGCGTTGAATGCAGAATCCAAGACTAGCTTACATTCCCTTACATCGGACCAGATAACAACACCTGTCTCAACGGGCCGTCTTCATGAAATCACAACCCCTGGCCTGAGGTTGTCATTTGACGTTTAGAGGATAAATGAAAACGCTAACATGTACATTGTCTTTATTTCTCAGCCTCTGTCCCAGTGTTTCCTTGCTTGGCAACTTGATCGTAATGCTCCAATATAACTAAGTTAAGACCCGGATGGTCACAAATAGGGTGAAGGTGGGGTCTGCACGGCCTCCAGCAAATCATCGTAACAAGGAGGAGGTTCGCCTTCTTTGAGTCTCACTCCAGCGTTGTATTGCATGTATTCAACATAATGCGGAGGGTATTCTGGTAACTTTTCAGCCTGAAATGGTGTGTCGTTTTGTGTCGTGCAGTTCATTTTCGTGGTGGTCGCTTTTATTGCAAAAAGGTTGCCGAGCACCACTGGTCTATGATAAGGACGTCTACGGCGATAGCGCGTGAAGTAAAAACACATTGAAGCTATACATAGAAGAACACAAGTTCCGAGGATTCCAGCGGCAATAAAGGTGTCAGCATCATCGTTATGATACGGAATACAGTGTTCTGAGCAAACTCTGTCACAGCAGCTTTCCCACAGTCTGCAGTCAGCGTCTTCTGAACAGGAATGTCCGACGCAGACATCACCAACTACGCAGAGGTGACTACAGCAACTCTCTTTTACACCGCAGTCGAACTGAGAAGAACAGTTGCGGCTACTCGATGTCGAGACAGACGACGTAGTAAAGGATTCGGAAGGAAAGTTCACAGAGAATAACATCAATATGAAAAGGAAACAATTCAAAATAATAGACGACGTAGCCATAAACACCCGCACCTTACTCGACTGTGAATTGTTCTCTGTTTTCGGGAAACGAAGTTTCACAGAGATGGGAAATATTCTCACTTTGTTCTCCAGACAAGCTACTTCGTGATCATGACGAACAGATGATGTCTCAAATTGTGTATTAAATTACAAGCCTAAAACTATTTCCCATCGCGTGACTTGGAAATTCTAAGTCACGGAACTTGAAAAAAATAAGGCCTGGGGCGAGATATCGCGTTACTCCAAAACTCCGATTAGCATGTTTGTAATGCGACACTGTCAAAATGGCGGAAAAACACTGCGCCCGGAAAAACTGGCGATGCACTATAGAACGAGCAGAAAAGTTTATTTCCTCCCAATATTTTTCTGATATCAACTTGTACAGCAGGTATGTACTTGTCACGTCCACTGCCACTGCATCAAACATTGATTCAAATGCAGATTCATCTTTGTTACATTTATGCCACATCACCATTCGGCCAGTTGCTCCGAAAACGTCTATAATGAAAGTGCAAGAAATGTAAAATTATGTGGAAAGAGAGACAGAGAGTCAAACAAGAAATCCCCTGTGTTTTCAGTCCTTTCCTAGTTAATGTTAAGACACCAGCAACATTTGGCTGTTTATCGGAGAACAAAAGAATTTTACAGCTGATTTCAGTGCAGCGTTTTTAGACATGATTCGACCGAGAGGTTACAAAGCAGTACAGTATTCTACTGGAATCAAAGCACACAATCTGAAATTTACTTTGATGATTATAGCTTGAATGTTTCTCTTGTAATTCAGAAAAAGAGGACCGTGATTCTCCTTTTCAGACAACAATCGCAATGCATGTTATCGCGCGTGTCGACGGCTCTTTTCTTGACCTTTTTATTAGGCTTCTACCTTGATCTTTAAAGAAATATAGACCTTGTCACGGTTTTGGACGCCATCTTGACGAGTAGGCAAACGCGAAAGAAATTACAGTGTTTGTATGTGAATCTAATTTCGAATAATTTCCGCAGAACGGCTGTTATGAAAAAAATATGATTTGTAAACCAAAGCTTCACTCCTAAGGATTCTACTGAAAAAATTTGAGGGCACTACATTCACTAGAAGACCTAGAACCACTTTTTAAATTTCCTATACACGTCCCGGGAAAATTACAGACAAATGTATGGAAAATCTAAAGCAAGCCTCTGGAGAAATTTAAGCACAGGTAAGCCTCCAAAATTTTTTCGGACGATCCTTTGCTTTGTACCTTTAGTTTATTGATATTTTTTTCAGAACAGCTGTCGTACAGAAATTGTTCGACTCTAGATTCTCATACAAACACTGTAATTTCTCACGGGTTTGCCTTCTCGTCAAGATGGCATCGAAAACCGTGACAAGGTCTATTATATTTTACCCTTTTTGAATAAAAACAAATGTTGCTTTCTTTTAGTTAAGGTTTTCTTAACATGAGCTTTCCATTTTCTAAAACGTTTGTGTTTTTTTGTAACGTGCCTTGAATTTCTTTTTTTTTGAAATTTTTCCCCTTTTTTGGTTTTTTTTTCTCCTTTCCGAAATCTTTTTTCCCAAAAACTCCTTTTTTTTCCCATCCCCCCCCCTTTTTAATTAAAAGCCCCCTTTTTTCCCCCCCCCCCCCCCAAATTTTGCATAACCATTGTTTTTCATTTCTTCTGGGCATTACAACTGTCTCAAGAGAAATTGAAAACAATGCTTATGCAAAATTTTGGGGGGCAAATAAGGCACATTATGGGAGATGTACAAGTGGCGCATGATATTTTTCTGGGGTTGACAAATATTAAACTTTCTAGCAAATTCTTTGACAACAGCAGACTGATCAATTTATCTGTTGATTTTTTCTACAAAATGTCAAGTCTTCCTGTTATATTTTAATTATGCAGATTCTAAGTAAGGATGAAAAAGTACTAACTTCAGGAAATTCAAATTTGCCTCCCTGTTAACTAAATTTACATCACAGCAGTTACATGTAAATTGCGAGCATTCACCGACACCAAAATACCGAAACCTTGCCATACAGAAGAAGACTAAATGATAAAACATCAGACTATATTTTCTATTGCTTTTCGTCGTATTGATAATATTTCGTCTACTGTGAAATTGGCTACAGAAATACATTGGCAATTGAACTCCAAGTTTATCTCTTTTTATCATTCTGTATCATGTCACCACTTTCCATGCAATAAAGCTTTCCTCTTCAGGTGAAACACATTTGTCAGGATTCTAGCTTTGTTACACTTGTGCCTTTTGGTGATAAGCTTTCTTTGCCAGCCAGATGATATGTTTCTCTCACTGTTTCAGATCCCATGGCAGAATTCTCGCCTGCCTTTATTTTTGTAACCGTTTATGTACTGTGAAGCCATACATCACATGATTGGTGTCAAATCATGACAGGTCAAATCATAACCGTTGAATCATGTCTGAAAATCCGGATCTATACATAACAATGAAATCAGCTGTAAGCAAGGCTACATTCACACATAGCCATTGGAAGCCCCCTCCCCTAAAAAAAAAATTGGGGAGAGAGACGTATGTGAATTGCAGTCATTAATTGTGTTCTGGTATACATTTGCATAAATTATATGAAATGCCAAACCAGCCATCCAAAGTATTATGAATGATTATATGTTAGGACAATCAATAATAAGACAAGTACAAGTACTAGTTAAATAACATACCGGATGTTCTTGTTGTAGATTGTACTCTAAGAAGCTGTCAGTGAGTTCACTTACCCACTTCGCTGCTCCTGGTAGGGTCACATACAATGAGGCTATCAGGGAAAAATTTGTGGAAACTCAAGTTGGATGCAGTTTTGGTCCAACGTAAGATTGCACTTTTAATCATGAGACAGTATTCTTAAAAGCTAAATTTTAGTGAAGTCCTGAAGACATAATTTTCAGTTCTCAACCCATAATTAGTGCTCTGTCAAAGCACTGTGATGGGTACTCATTATATATAGACATTTTCATCCTGTACTAAAGATTATGCATGCAAGTATACATTTGGGAAGTAGATATCTGATTTACCATGCATGTAATATTGCCGAAATCTTTATCAGGTGGTCCACACATTGGTTCAAAGTTATTATCCACATTCCAGAAGAATGGAAGGGAGAGGCAGTGCACTTTAGGTGGAATTCTGCTTCAGAGGCCATGGTGATTATATATTACATACTTTTATTATAAAACAAAGTTTACAGATCTTTGTCCACAATGCAATATGTGATTGATTCTTATAACATTAAATCCTCACTGTTTTTGTACCCAGTTGAACTCCGACAATACGCTGTCAAACCCTGAAGATAAACAATTGCCTTTGAACCAGGGAAGGTGTAGCTCAGTGGGTAGAGAGCTTGACTGCAGAGCCGGTTGAGGTTGCGGGTTTGATTCCCAAAGCCAGACCAAATATACTCTGGGTCTAATAAAATAGCTGAGAAAATGCCTGGCTCAGATGTCCACAAATCTAGTGTCCCTTGGGCAGTTAGTACTATTTTCGTGCAAAATTTTAATATGCATTGATTGACACTCAAATAAAGTGGTATTTTATTAATTTCTCAAGTTCGTTTGCTGCACCATCATGTACCTTGTATTGATGTACAATACCTTATGTGTACATTTCCTCCAAAGAAAGGAAAAACACTGTTTTCTTTCCTTCAGGGCTACAGGGATGGCAGGCTAATGCATAATAAATTGTTATTAAAAGCTGAATCATTGGATGATGTAATCAGGGTTGTCATTAAGAGCCGGGGGCTGGGGATTTCCCCCGGCTAATATGAACGTGGTCCCCAGCTAATTTCATTGGAAAATAGAAGAAAAATAGAACCAGAAGAAACCCCTAGCTGTTTGATTCCCCGCCTACTTGTTGTATTTACCCGGCAACTTTGAAATCTTAGTGACAACCCTGTGTAATTCTAGAGCTCTGATTGGTTTAGCCGTCATGGTATATGAGCCATTACACTATGCTCTCCAAATATGGTAACTCTACACATCTGCTAAGAATTAAAAAGAAGCTGAAAATCAGTTGTTTTTGCAAAAAAAGTCAAGAAGAATTCTCGATATTTTGTGGGCGTTTTCGTTAAAATAATATTATTATTCCACTCACACTTGTTGGATAATTGTTAAATAGTTCCAGAGAACTGTATTGTGCATTAAATTTTCCACAATTTTTCTCTCCATGGTTGTTTATGCTGTAGGTCTGGCAAGATGGGAAACCAAGACAGGTATTAAGAACAATCTGAACACATTTTTTCAGAAACCAATAACTTAAAAACACTGTTAAGTAATACATAATTTTGAAGCCCCTGATATATACTCTGTCATCTTTAAACTGATGTTGCTGAGGAATATTTTAAATGAGCTGACAATACCTGAAGCCTTACTTTTTAGTAGCAAACTTCATTCACAGCTTGAGTTCAGACTGTTCAACTTTTACAGTAGTTGCTGTGTTAAAAGTTTTAACCTTGTTTGAATTGAAACTGTTTTTTTTTTTAATTCACAGCTGTCACTGAAATTTTAGTTTGCTGGGAAGGGGGGTTAGTTTAGCAGGAAATTGAAATTGAAACTTGGTTCTTACTTTTCTCTTGTTTCCTGTGAAAGAAGCCAAAATGCTGTGCTCATAGTAGCCAGGGAAATTTCTGGCCCCCGGGCAGCCCTCAGTGACAGCCCTATGATATTCATTTATTTGTTTTAATTTTTCTTGCATTGTTTTTCATAGTAATATGTTCCGTCACTAGTTGTTCTCATATTGTGGGTGGCGCCTCCAAAAGTGTTGTGCAATTATGTAAACCATTTTTAGATTTGCATGCAGTTCAGGCATCCTCACTGATGAACGGCTCCGGGTGGAGGGTCGGGGAGGGGGGGGGGGAAGAATTTCAATATTTGAAGTGTATGATAGGGTAGAGCAATCTGTCATTTCGGTCAGTAAAGGGACCTACTTGGATAGGTGCATCTTTTTGCTTTGAAAAATACAAGAAAACTTTACGGAGTTGTGATTTATTCTTATTTAAAAGACTGTCCATTTGCAGCAGTTAAAAGGGATTCAATGTTGTAAACTAGTATGTTGAAGATGAACCATTTGTCAATAAAAGGTATACGAAAGGGTACCTTTTCTTTCAAAAATGGTATACCAGGGGTATAAAAGGGTAAGCCTCCCCGTAGAAAATTTTGGTGAGTACCCCCCTCCCCCCGGGGAACAGCTACCACAGTTAGATATTTGCAGGGGCAACAATCGTTAATAGTCTGTCCCATTTCAATTATTATTCAGAGGTAATATTCCCACTCATTTATTTATTTTCGTTTAGGGTTTGACTGGTGCTGATGGCCACCAACAAAGAACAGATTATGTGCTCTCAGCTAATGCCACTCCCGGCAGGTACTGTACTTAAAAAAAATACGGAGTCTAAGATGTCACGACGACTACGGCAACGAGAACGTCAAAAAAGCAATAGATTTTTAATAGCTTAACAACAACTTTGCACGGGCAGCACCGCACTTTTTATTACAAGAGAGTTTGCCTACGTATGACAAAGTGAGTAAGCTGGGATGAATAAAAAATGATCGTGCTGAAGTCTCAAAGAACGCAAAGTCACTCTTCAGGTGAGGTTTTTGCCGGATTCGTGGTCACCTCGCCACAAAACCATCTCGCCATCGACTAAATCGCCACCAAGAATTATGTATCTTTAATACTTTTCGAAAGGACAAGTCGATGATGACTTACAAACCCAGGGGGAGCTGCGTTACTCCGGATTTCAGGTGACGGGGATGATCGAATGGGGGAAAAAGTAAAAAACCCAAAAAAATCCCTAGGACTTCTAACAAAACCCAAAATCTCTGGTTGTGTTCTATTCGCAGAACTACGCGGCCTGCGGGGGCACTACTATGAGTCTTCAGATTGTTTTGAACACCACCCCATAAAATCCCGTCTCAAATCAAGCCACCCAGAAAAATTCTTGCCAGATTTTCTTACCCCAAAAAATCCTTCGATCATCCCTGTCACTTGAAATCCGGAGTACCTCCCCCCACCCCGTCCCGCCCCCGGGGCTTACACACTCCGTTGTTCCAATGTTAAGGTACACTTTATATGTGGAAATGGCTGCCAATGGTATGTTTGGTGCAGGGAAGGATGGCCTGATAAATGCGCCGGACCCCTCGCGCAAGTACACTCTCTCTATGGCTGAGGTGGCTGTGTTTGACACCGCATATTATCAAGTTTTAATGGACCTTACTGTCATCATAGACCTGGCAAAGGTATGTGGGAAAATGCCTCCATTTATCAAAGTTGCTGATAATTATCACTGCCTGAAATGCCCGCTTTACTGTCCCTTGATCAAGCCATACTCAGTCAGGATTCATTTGTGTATACTGGTCATTACCCGGTCCGTTCATATTGGCATGAGTTAATAACATCTCGCTTCAAACATACTGGTCATTACCCGGTCCGTTCATATTGGCATGAGTTAATAACATCTCGCTTCAAACATGTGCTACTTATTACACTCATAATCAAGTTCTCGTCCGCTTGCTGAGTAAAACATTGCGCGCGATGTTTTACACGCCATCGTGTTTTTAATCTCTGGGCCAATTCAAAATTTGCTATAGCAATGCCGCGTATGAAATATTTGAAGGGTTCTCTTCGCTGTAACTTTATTGCCTGCAATGTTGCGAGAGAAAATACACCTTGTACCCGCACCTCGCTTAGTTATCAATTGCACAGCCCAGGGTTCCGTTTCTCAAAAGTGCTGGTTACTTTTTCTCGCCCAACACAAATGACAAATCAGTACATTAACCTTCGTTTAGCCTCATCCCCTCATCCCTTAGAAGGAAACACATCGTGACTGGAATCTTCCTTTACGTTATATAACTCTTAAGCCTAGTTTTCACTAGCCCATAAGCAGAAGCGAAGGACATACGCACGCGCAGAATGGCATATTTGACTTAATTCTCGATACCAGCTCTCCTCAACCCGATGATAAACAAGATATATTGCTTTTAAAGTGTGCGCATAAGGTCTGGGTCAAAGTGACCTATGATTGGTCCACGGCCTTGTGCTTATGCTTGTGCTAATGTCGACCCCGTTTTCACTAGTCAAAGCTACAACATAAGCACAAGCACAAGCGCAAACTTGTCCGTTTTTCTTGTGCTTATGCTTATGTCGACCCAGTTTTCACTTGCTTACACATGTGCTTGTCCTTATGCTTATGCTTACGCGCTAGTGAAAACCAGGCTTTAGGGTTCTATACTAGCGTAACTTATTTGGAATTATCATTTTTGAACAGAACCTCTCACAAGAAAATCCCAGAGCATTTCAAGCTCTTCACACTGCAAATGACATCGTGAATGCATGTCAGGACCTGTCAGATAGAACGTCGTTGCAAAGGTGATGTTATGGAATAGTTACTAAATTGATGATTGCGCGAAACATCGAAAAAATTCCCCGTGCTGATCTGTTCTCCTTGCAAGGAGATTTTCGCACGTGTTTCCTTCTCTTTCTCGAACTGTGTGCACACGGGATATCTTTAACTAAGTTATTGCCAAGATTGCAATAGATGTAAAATTGCATGGACTGTAGTGCTACTATTAATAGTACTACTCATTTTTAAATGCGTTTCAAGTTTGTACAATATAACTTGCCTTTTAATTGGAAAATTAAACAAGACTTACCTGTAAGATGAAGTTTGATTGAGATTCTATCACATGGCCGGGCACGCAGGAGATTGCACCGAGTGTTTCGCGCGTACGCTGTGCGGTCATGCGATTGAATAGGGATCAACAGCTAGATATCCTCTTATTCTTGTACCCCTACTTCGTAATGGACTTATTTCTCCTTTAGTCATACGCTGATGCGTCAGAGGCACTTTCCTCTTATGAGAGGTGGTGAATCCCTAACACGTATGAAACGCGCGTTAGTAGCACAGGTTACTCTGAAAAGTATTTCTGAGCTTTCTAAAAAGAAACCGTCCTTACGTTTGTCGCGCAGTCTTGTTAAGATCTCATAAAATAGTGTGTATGTTTGAGGATGTTCTGAGTTATCTTAATCTAGAATACAGACTCTTTTTACAAAGGCATCTTTTTTTTTGTCCGGTTCTAGGGCGCACGAAATAGCCGACAGATTCTTTAAACAAGCAAATGGAGATTCTCAACACCAGGTCCACGCTGTTGGAAATTGTCACATCGATTGTGGTATGGTTATTATTAAACGAACAACAATATCAAATTCTGTTCTATGCACATCTACTTATCCATCCATCCCTCTGTTCGTCCCCCTGTCCGCCCACCTGTCCGTCCGTCTATCAGTCCGTCTGTCAGCCTGTCTGTCCTTCCGTCAGTCTGTCTGTCCGTCCGTCCGTCTGTCTTCCTCAGTGTTTTTCCGTCTGTCCGTCCGTCCGTCCGTCCGTCCGCCTGTCTGACTGTCTGACCATACGTCCATCTGTCCACCTATTCGTGCGTTTGTCTTTCCGTCTGCCTTTCCTTCCCCCTGTCCGTCTGTCCATGCCCAGTTTCTTCCATCTGTCCTTCCCCCTATCCGCCTGTCCTTCCACCCCTCCGTCCACCTGTCCTTCCATCTATACACCATCCACTGTCCGCCTGTCCATCCATTAGTCCCTCCGTTCGTCCGTCCACCTGTCCATCCGACCCTCCATTCATCCCTCTTCTTGTTTGTCCGTCCATCTGCCCATCCCTCTGTTGCCCTGTTTGTCCACCCGTCTGTCCGTGCGCCTTTTCGTGTGTACGTTCCGTCCATTCATTCCTCCATCTGTTTGTCTGTCCGTCCTTCCCTCTGCCCTTCCGTCCACTCGTCCATTCGTCTTTTTGTCCCTTCGTTTGTCCGTCATCCCCTCATTTCGTTTATCTATTCGTCTGTCCGTCCACCCATCCACCCGTCCGTCCATCTGTTCGTCTCTCGTGTATCTATCCATTTATCTGTTTATCTGTCTCCCCATCTATTGATCAATTAACGTATTTAGTTGTTTTATTTGTGTATTCTTACTATTTTTACAGCCTGGCTATGGCCTATCGCCGAGACCATCAGAAAGTGTGGTCGCAGTTTTGCAACAGCTGTGAGGTTGATGGAGAAATACCCTGACTTCAAATTCGTGTGCTCACATACCGCATATTATCAAGTTTTAATGGACCTTACTGTCATCATAGACCTGGCAAAGGTATGTGGGAAAATGCCTCCATTTATCAAAGTTGCTGATAATTATCACTGCCTGAAATGCCCGCTTTACTGTCCCTTCATCAAGCCATACTCAGTCAGGATTCATTTGTGTATACTGGTCATTACCCGGTCCGTTCATATTGGCATGAGTTAATAACATCTCGCTTCAAACATGTGCTACTTATTACACTCATAATCAAGTTTTCGTCCGCTTGCTGAGTAAAACATTGCGCGCGATGTTGCACGCGCCATCGTGTTTTTAATCTCTGGGCCAATTCAAAATTTGCTATAGCAATGCCGCGTATGAAATATTTGAAGGGTTCTCTTCGCTGTAACTTTATTGCCTGCATTGTTTCGAGAGAAAATGCACCTTGTACCCGCACCTCTCTTAGTTATTAATTGTATAGCCCAGGATTCCGTTTCTCAAAAGTGCTGGTTACTTTTTCTCGCCCAACACAAATGACAAATCAGTACATTAGCCTTCGTTTAGCCTCATCCCCTCATCCCTTAGAAGGAAACACATCGTGACTGGAATCTTAATCTTATATAACTCTTAAGCCTAGTTTTCACTAGCCCATAAGCACAAGCGAAGGACATACGCACGCGCAGAATGGCATATTTGACTTAATTCTCGATACCAGCTCTCCTCAACCCGATGATAAACAAGATGGCGGACGAAGCGTCCGCCATATTGCTTTTAAAGTGTGCGCATGAGGTCTGGGTCAAAGTGACCTATGATTGGTCCACGGCCTTGTGCTTATGCTTGTGCTAATGTCGACCCCGTTTTCACTAGTCAAAGCTACAACATAAGCTTGAGCACAAGCGCAAACTTGTCCGTTTTTCTTGTGCTTATGCTTATGTCCACCCAGTTTTCACTAGCTTACACATGTGCTTGTCCTTATGCTTATGCTTACGCGCTAGTGAAAACCAGGCTTTAGGGCTCTATACTAGCGTAACTTATTTGGAATTATCATTTTTGAACAGAACCTCTCACAAGAAAATCCCAGAGCATTTCAAGCTCTTCACACTGCAAATGACATCGTGAAT